CTGGTAGGCACTTTCATGACTTACATAACTAAAATCTTCTCTTTCTCATTTTGCTTGTTATTTTTTTCTTTTCTTCCCTCCTCCATATATTCTTCAAAAACATGTGAGTCATGCCCGCACTTGGAACTGAACTGATCATTGCCTGCGCATCAGTGTGAAATGTCAGTACGTAAATTAAGTAAAATTTCTGGCTGAGGAGATCAGTAGAGGTGGGGAGGTGCTGGAGCTGTTTTTCCAGGTCTGGTTTTCCCGTGGGAAGGAGGACAACCTGAAGTCCGGGTCCAGGGAGAAGAGGCAGTCAGGGAGGACAAAGCTCACAGTGGAGGCTGGCAGACAGTGGAGAGGATGCAGAAAGGTGGAGCAAAGACAAAGACAGGGCTCCCTCAGGTGCAGCGAGGTGATGCATGACATGAGGCTGGCAGAGACCCTGGGGAGAGTCTACCTCAGGTACCCATTTTTGCAGTGGGGCTGAGCAGCTCCATGCACCCACCCTTCCTCCCTGTGACTGCACATCAAGCACTTCCTTTCCTCACCTAAGAATAGACTGTCTCTAGGACAAAACTCCTCTACAGCCATCTCAGATGGAAGCTGCCCATGCTCCTCCTGTCTCTCCAGGTTCCATGAAGATGTGATCAGCATGCTAGCCCCGGGGCCTCCCCAGGGAAAGTGTACTTGCCTCAAATTTCTCTCCTCTTGAGGCTCTGTGGCAGTTGATCCCTAAGTTTTTTTGCAAATAGAACTCAACCATCAGGAGCACAATTAGCATCAGAAGGACACAGGGCAAAGATACAGAGCAATCCAGAGGGCACAAAGCAGGCAGGCTGAATACCTAAGCAAGACCAATTCTGGATTCCACTTTTCTTTGCAGATGGGCCTCCTAAAATACTCCATCACTGCTTTTCAGAGACCATTTGTAGCTGAGAGTCCAGGCAGGAGGTGAGGAGCACACCGAGCCGGGTGGGCCTAGGATGCTCAGGTTAACATGGAGTCGGCCAAGCTCAGAAGTAGCTGAGGCCCCAAGAGAAGCTTGAGGCAGAATCAAATCCATTGTATGCCTCGACATTTCTGCATTCTTTTCTGTGGGAGCCAACCAGCTTCCTAGTATATGAACCACCGCACAAATAAGTAGTTTTCTCAACAAATAAGTTGCAAGTGAAGCAAAGATAACTAACAGAAGGAAATGAGATTTCTAAAACTTGCCTGGCAAGTTTTTGCCTTGCCTGGCAGCCCAGAAAAGCCCCTGGACCCACAAGAGTCTATGAAGTAACCAAGAATTCGAGGGACATTTCTATTAGCCTTAAAATCTAAACAGAACTGAAGGATGTACAGGAAACCCCAAATTTCCTTTTTTACAGAAACTAGAACCAACTCTGTGCTAACACTGTTCGTGCGGATTAGAAAGTATGATAGGAGATTACGTGTGCATTTGATTACATTTAAATGGGGAAATGGATCAAACATTAATCAAGTGCAGTTTGCTCAGGGAAATCTTAAAAAACATTTTGCACCTTACAAGGAGTGAATAAAGGAGATGTGTTCGTTATAGAAGGTTGGAAATCATTTGACAAGAAGCAAGAAAAAGCTGCCATGTTTCATCACCTCATTACATGGGGCCTGAGGCATAGTGTTCCCCACAGAGGAGATGCTGATAATATGTGCTAGTCCTGGACTCTTACTTATGGAACCATGTAGCCTTGGGCAAAAGAAGCTAGATTGCAAGCCAAGCATTTATCCCTCCTTTTCTGTAGGAAGCATGCTTAAGAGTAATGAAAGAGTTAATGAGGGAGTCCTCTGCTTAGGATTCAGCTAATTCTCTGTGTTTTTTAATAAAAGCATATAAGCCAGAGATATTAATAAGCCTGGATTTGAGACCCAACTCTCCCACTTAGTATGTGCAAGACTTTGGGCAAATGTAACAGTGAATGCATGCAGCTACAAGCATCAAAAATGCCAATAATAGTGGCTTTAAAGACTAGGAATTTTTTCTTATAGAATCCAAGATCGAGTATAGTGAGCTTGGGACAAAATAAATCCCAATGAGCTTCATCAAGGAACTGAGTTCCGGTTCACTTTCTACTCTACCATCCATTTGTGTATATAAATCTCCCTCTTTGCAACATGATCACTTTTACCCCTCCGGCAATTGCATCTGCATTCCTGGTAGGAAGGAGAAAGGAAAAGTATGTACCAATTTGCCTGTCTCTTTTCATGAACTCAACATGTGCTTATTTGGAAGCCTTATTCAGTGATTTTCTGCTTATATATTTTCATCAGATAATTACAGGCATAGTGTTGATAAAAATAAATTGACAAAGCTGACAATGAAAGGAAACTTTAGTCAAGTTTATAAACAAATATCTTCAAATACAAGCAAGCACTCAAATTAAAAAGCAACAAGTTCTGTTAAAACTCAACATGTTGAAATCTTTTTAAATGTGCTCATTATAGACATAGTAATATTTTTAAAGGAGCTAACAAAAGTGAAAAGAGAGAAAGCCAGAGGGAAGGGCAAAGAAATGAAGGGATGAAAGAAGAAACATCTTCAGTTTTTAAAATTGGTACATAAAAATAAACATAAGCAAGTATTTAGTCTGCCTTTTCTATACCAAGTGCATGTGAGGATATTCAAAGGATTACTGAGAGGGGTTCTCTTTACAGAAGTATTCTGGCTTTTAGAAAATGAAGAGCAAAAAATCCAAAACCCATATCTTTTGAACATGAATGAAATAATGGAGCCATGAATGGGTGCTAACATTACAGTAACAGAGCCCATTAGATATGACGGAAAAATATAGCCTGATATGAAAACTCGGGTATTCCTGCCAAAAAGCTCCAGTCTTACACTATCGAGTTTCAAGATCTAACTACTCAGGTACCAGAAATGGAGGTGCAAAGGAATATAGTAAATGATGCCACAGGGATTCAGTCAGCAAAATGCAGAAGGTGGGAAAGTTTACAGGACAAATCAGTAGTTTTTCCAACAAATAAATCACAAGTGGAGAAAAGATAACTAACAGAAGGAAATGAGATTTCTAAAACTAGAGCCATATCCAACAGTTGCAGTAGATGACACTCGCTTGATTGATGGAAAAATTATTTAAAATATGAAATAAAATTTTCTAAATTGAATGCTGGTTTAATGTTTCATTACTGTAAGCAATAACTGTGTAGACATAAAATTAGTATTGCCGTTATGTGTCCTTAAAGGGTACTTCCCTATTATATATGTGGTGGAACTCATATGGATTAAATTACATGCTTTCTGGGATCTGCTCCAAAATAATCCAGAGGAAAGGGGAAGTAGATGGAGGCGTGGATGACAAAATATTATCCCTGAGTTGATAATTGCTGAAACTGGATCATGAGTACATTATGGGTCCATTACTGTACTGTTTTCTCAACATGTTTGGACTTTTGAAATTTTCCATCCTAATTTTTAAAATATGAACTAACCTCAGAATAAACAGCATTAGACAAAAGCATCATTGAATTTAGCCCAGAGTGGTGGGAAAAAAATCATCCTGAGCCAATGGCTCTCTCCGTCAGACTGACTACGATTCTTCACAGGGTCCTCTTGAGGAGGCTGAAGACTCAGAACCTGAGTACCTTCACGCAGGTAAGCTACAGTATAACAAAAGTTATTGCTTCAATTGAGATTTGTATATTCACAAAGTTCTGGATCTAAAAAGTCTCTGCAGATTGTAGAGTAAATACTTAGAATACACAATGGCATGCCATTCATCCTGTACAAGGAAGAAGACTCTAACACATGTTAGGTGGGTGCATGGAGGAACCCTGAGGATATTATGCTGACACATTCTCTAATCACAGAAGGACAAACAGCGTATGAATCCACTTCCACGAGGCACTGAAGATAGCTCGACTCAGAGAGACAGACAGCAGCTGGTGTTACCAGGGGCTGGAGGGAGAGGGGAACGGGGACATTGTTTACTAGAGTTTGTATTGTGTAAGATGCCAAAAGTTCTGCAGATAGGTGGTAGTGATGGAAGCACAATATTGGAAACTAAATTTTATTTCATTGGTGTGTTATCACAATTCAGTTTTTAAAATTACAATTTAGGTTAAATGCCCCCAAGGAGAGGCCAGTAATAGCTGTTCAAGTGGGCACTACTGACTGCCTTCTGGTGTCTGTTCCCCACTGTCCTCTTCTAATAAATCCCAATTTTGTAGACATCAGCATCTGATTTAGGAGAGACTAATGCTTCTTCTACCTGTAGGAGTGGATCCCAGGTATTCCAAGACAATCACAGCATGACATTTTCCCGACAGCTAGTAGTGGCCTAAGGAGTGGCTTGGGTTATGAACTGTGTTTGTAATGAAGTAAAGCCTTTGTACTGCAAGGTTGGAGGAGGCAGAAACAAGGGAGCACGATGACCCTATTCCTGTTGGTAGTGATACTATGAACGGAAGTCTTTTTAGGTTCGATGTATATAACATAGGGAAAAAAAAATCATGGAAAAAAATTAAAGGGCACTGCTACATAAAGAATTTGGTGACACTGCTAAACTACCGAAATGACCAGATCTGTAGTTCTTCCTACTCCTGGTCTTACTGTTATGCCAAACAGCACACACCACTACACAAGCCAGTTGAAGTTGAGTCCCTGATAGTACATCCCACACCATTATATCTCAAATGGTAATGCCAAAGAAGTAGTGACTAGGAGCAACTAGTCAATTACAGAAGTCAGGACAAGTAGCATCCAGGCTGAGGCAACAGCACCTAATGTCCTGTGGTGAAAGAGAACAGACTCGTGTCCAGGAATTCCAATAAGCAAAAGAAATCCAGGCTGATTGAGGCACAGAAGGATCTGGGGTGAGCACTGATACATAATGGGGTGAAGAGACAGAAAGCTGGTCCCCACGGGGCAGGGCCCATTGGGGTTTTGCTCTTAACCCTAGCGGGAGTCAGATGCCAAGGTAGTGCTTTATGATGTCATGAATACAAGATCAGATTCACTTCCAGGTGAGGGTGCAATGTGGAGAGCTGGCTGGCGCATGGCCAGTCTGGAAGCAGAGCATCAAGGCTCTCGGGCACAAATGATGGCAGCACAGTCTCGGGTGTTGCTTGTGGGGATGGAGCAAAGCAGGAGGTATCTGTGAAACTTCGAAAGTAGTATTAATGGAACTTAGCTGTGGGTCAAATATATCCTGCAGAAGAAAAGAGCGTGAACTAGACTCAATCATAGCAAAATGGATGCATATTGAGGCCACACACTTTTTAATTTAATCTTGAGTTTATTTAAAATACTTCCTATTTCACCTTATCAGTTATACGATTTGTATACAGTTATACAATTTATACTTTTCTGAGGCCATACTCAAGTGAAATAAATAAGGCACACATGTGTAAATACCAAATTATTTCTCTGGTGTGAAAAACTACAAGTGTAAATAAGATCCAAATTGTATTACTGATAAGGTGAAATCGGAAGAACAGGGCTAAAGGCATAGGGGAAGTGGGAAGAATAGGCAAAAAGAAATAAGGGACAAGAAAAAATATGAGAAAAGGAAAAAATGGAAACAAAGTCTTTGTAAATAGGAGAGGGTAGAGGGGGTGAAGGGAGGGCAGGAGTATGGGAGGAAAATGAGAACCAAGACCTGTCATGTAAAGGTACAAGATCCCAATGATGAATGTAACTGTACTGTATACCTAAAATGTACCAATAAACTCAATAAAAAAAAAAAAGAGCATGAGTCACAGGGATGTTCTAGATTTCTGAATGTAACAGGGAAACTGGAGTGCTTTTAGGACCGCAAGAAACAATGCCCAGATTTTCAGGAGAGAGATCTTGTACTATAAGCAAGGACAGAACTAATTTAAGTAGCACTGCCAATTATACTTAATAGAATAGTAACAGTTACCATTTACCAAGCATCTATTAGAGAACAGAATCTACATGATATGCTTCCCTTGATGCTGCACTGCCTTCAGACTGAACAGTATCACCAATTGCTCTGCCAAGATGTGATCCTGCCCTGCTCCCATCAAGTTGAAGTATTTGTGTTACCACCCTCAGTCTGGACAGGTTTGTGACTGCTTCTATCCATAGATGTCAGAAGCTATGTGACTTCTCAGGTTTGGTCATAAAAAGCCACAGAGCTCCTCACCAGTTCTGTAAGAACACTTATTTTAGGGGAATCCTGATCATGAAAGTGGTCCAATGGCTCCGGGACCACCTAGCTAAGAAGCTCACATAAAATACCCAGGTTGTCACACACAGCTGAGCTCTCTGCCAATGGCAAACACTAACTCACCAGTCAGGGGAGTGTGCCATCTTGGAGATACTCCGATCTTATCCCCCATCTGTTGCCATGGGAACCATCCCTGCCCTAAAGAAAACAAATCTGCAAGCACAGTAAGTGACTGCCAATGATCTTTCATGTTACCAAGTTTGGGAGTTATTGGTTACAACCCCTGGCCACTGCATAGGTGGGAAAAAACAAGGCTGAGAGACTAATGTTGCTTGCTCCAGATCACAGGGCTAATGAAGACCAATATCAGAATTCTAACTAACTCTATCTAGTCCAGAACCTGAGCTGTTTTGTAAACCTCACTGTTGCCACCATTTTGGTCACATCCCCAAATTAAATTGCTACGTCTGTCCAAAATTTCACACCTTGTTCCAAAACACAGCTTTAAAACCTAACCAAATGCATTTAGGAAGTAATCTCTCCAGCTTAGAAAAAGCAGCCCACGAGTACAGTAAAATATGGACAATTTCAAGCACTTGGAAAAAAATTCCTTCTATCCCCCATCTCTTTTCACAAGCACCAGGGAATTGATACGAAATTAAAACAGACAACTTCCATTTTCTTTCAGAAGAGATTTATGGCTCCTGTCTACAGAATTTCTAGCCGTGAACTGAACTGTAAAACAAAATGTTTTAAAATAATATATTTAAAGCAAAGCAGTGTTATGTGCAATTAATGTAAAAATGATCAGATGTGATGGTTGCTGAGTAAAAGTAAAATGGAGAAATATGAGCTAGAGGAGTGTAATGTCATTTCGTGAAGCACAATCCGTCAGAGAAGAGCACAAATCAAAGAAATAATCAGGCTTACTAATGACTTCAGAGTAACTTTCTCCTACTAATCAGACATCCTGCAGTGGAATGTGATCCCTTTGCCTCTGCCTCAGTCCAGCCCCAGAAGATCCCATCTCTGAAGGGCTTCTCCTACCTGTCACAGGCAGTATTTCACCAGCACCCAGGGCCCCAGCCTATCTCCCCCATTTTGCTAGGGTCAACCCTCTGCCCACTGCCACCCCTGTCTAGGATAAAGCTTGATCGTGCTGTAGGTTTCCGCTCACATGCCAACTCCTTGGAGTGCTGTTTCCTGGGGTGTCTTCCAGCCAGCCACAGGGTACTGATCGTTAGGGTACCCACAAAACACCAAATGCAATTGTGTGGCAGGGCTTTAATGACCTGACAGCTCAAGTTAACTTAGTGATGTTCTGGGGTACATGTACAGCACCAGGTGCTGGGGAGACCACAGAGAAGATGATGGGACACCCCTGCTTCAAGAGACGAGGCTGAAATTAGGGCTTCTCATCTGGGTGGGCATATCTTCTCCCCCAGCAGAGCTTCAGCAGTGTCTGGCCCCATATTGGCCTTGCTGTGCCTGCCAACATCCAGTGGGTGGAGGCCAGAGGTGCCCCTCCACTTCTCACAGCTTCCAGGACAGCCCCTACCCCAAGGAAGTATTGAGCCCAAAATGCCAGCCATGCCAAGGTTGAGAACACCTAACCTTATGTAACCACATGGGTAGGTAAGATCAGTTCAGGGTTTGAGAGCTATTCAGTAAATAAATGTGAAAGAATTTGAAGAGCTCTGGAATGAAAGAGGGTGATGCCTCTCTAGAGTGACTGGGATCAGGAAATGGAGAAATCAAGCCTCTGATTCCGCAAGTCTGGTTCAAGAGTGTGTGACGCGTCCACTGCCTCCCTGGTGTTACCTGTAATAACACCGTTCAGTGCTGAGTACCAGGCTGGCCCAGAGACACATCCTAGTCACAGTTTATTTGTTTTTGTTTTTTGGGTGTTGGGTCAAACTCAGGAACTTGCACTTGCGAAGCAGGCGGTACCACTGAGCTAGATCCCTGGCCCTAGTCAGTCTTATTTACCCGCTTTTGTTTCTCACTTGAGACCATGACCTGGGTTTCCAGTCTTTATAAAATGTATGGCACAGCCATGCACATGCATGAATGAATGGATGATATCTTTGCAGAACATGGGTAAGAAAATCAGGAGCTAAGCTTTGCCAGTCTAAGATGACTTAGGGCAGTATATTAGTCTCTTGGAAGTTATTACAACAAAATCCCAGAAACAAAGTGGGTGGCTCAAAACAATCAAGGTTATTCTCTTGACATTCTGGAGGGCAGAAATTCATATCCAAGCTGTCAGCAAAGCAGTGCCCCTTCAGAAGCTCTGTAGAATCCTTACCAGCCTCTCCGCCTTGTAGGTGTAGCTGGCTCGTTGTGTGCCTCAGCCTACAGCTGCTTCACTCCAGCCCCAGCCTCCCTCCTCCTCCTCACGTGGCATTCTCTGTGTCCATCTCCTCTTAGGTGCACACAAGTCATCCGGATGGAGGCCCACCCCAACACCCTAATCTTACCTTGGCCATGTCTACCAAGACCTATTTCGCATGGGTGCCACAGGTTAGGATTTCAGCATATATTTTTTTAAGGACACAATTCAGCTTGTTCCAATGACAAAGAATCCTGACTTCTAGACCTAAAACAAACAGATGAGCTGCAAATAAGAACCACGCTACCTGAGCTCTAGGAGACAAAAGTGGCTGTGAAGCACCTAATAAACTCAGAGCCAGCTGCCGTGACAGCTCTGCACATTGACACTGCCACAGACTGGTGCAGGTAGTGGGCCCGGCAATGGCCACAGCTCCCCTGCCACTCTTCCCTCTGCTCTAGCCTGTCACTTAGAAAACAGAAGATGGCGACAGACCCTCACGTCTCCCCAGGGACCGGCAGGCACTGAGAGCTGTTTTCTCATACATCCTCCAGCGTGAGCCGCACGTTAACCTGTGTGCAGAGAGGCCCAGGACCGTCATCCCATCTCCCAGCGGTGCAGCTTCATCGTCTGTCAGGTGCTAATTGCAATGCTGATCCTTACTGCCAGGCCCAAATCCCATAGAGTAGTCTAGGAAACACCGGACACATAGTGAGAACTCAATAAATCTCGAGGAAATAAATTAGTAAACTTAGTAAACTGTCTAGGATGAACATCACTTCAATTTCCCCTTCTGAACTCAGTTTCCTCTAGTTTTTAAATAGAATTACTCAAGTCCCCACACTCCACGTTTTCGCAGGAAAGATGAAACCCTCCTGTAGACTCAGTTGCATAAGAAGGAGTTGCTGGTGTAGCAACCTCCAGGCCAGGGCTTCTCCCTCCGCATTTCAAATGCTCCACTGCCTGATTCCTGTTCTCTCTCTGCATCTCTTTGCCACAAACATAGGAGAAGCCTCTGCACCATCACTCTTCAACCCCTTCAGAAACAATGCTTCCATTAGAGACAGAATACAGAGAGGTCTCAGGTGGAACTCCTTCTACAGTTCCTCAGCCAAGTCCTCCCAAGCCATCTCTTTCTGGGGTACATGCACGCTGCCATATTAACTGAGACCTGGAATCTCCCAAGTCACCATCTCTCCTATTTTCTGCCTCAAACCCCAATAACAGGTCCCATCCACCACCCCTTCCTAGCTCACTGGCTCCTACTCATTCAGATGACAAACACCTACGTTAGTCTACCACCCTCCTACCCCTGACTTCACACTTCTGTGAGCCTCCATGGTACTGGTCGTACTGCTGTTTACTCTATACTTTACCAGAGTTCTGAGATATCACTGACAGAAATAGTCACTGTCCACTTTGGGCAGAAAAAGAATGCATGAAAGGACACTGACTGCTAACAGAACTTGTGAGTTTGCTGGACAATCAGGCTTGCAAGTGTACAGCCAAGAGCAACACCTCAAAGAAGGAAACAGAAAAAAGAAGAAATCTGGAGCTACTTGATCAAATGGGGTGAAGGATGGAACAAATGGGGAAGGGAAGGGTCCCACAGCCTGAGGACCGGGTGTGACAATCCAAGCAAATGATGATGAGCATCTGAACCTATCAAGGGTGTCTTCAGGTATTGTTGAGATGGGGAGGTGTGGATAGATTCAAGAGACACATGAAAGGAGAAATTGGCAGCACCCACAGCTCAGTTAGGTAAAACGCTCACTTAGCGAGCCCTCTTACACCACTCCTTCGTGGCCTTGTAGGTAAGGAGAGACGTGATGGCCCATGGATCAGGGAATACAATTACAGGCTGGCCGAGCGGTGCATGACAGGCAGATGGGCTCAGACTGAGATGCGCTGAGGTGTAGATCTTACTGTGAGGTATCCATCAGCAGATGGAATGTGGCCAAGGAGAGATGTTGGGAAGGAGTACAAAATGGATATCGCAGAACGTGCTGGTGTTTGCAGGCAGTGGAATGTCTGCGACTGTTTGAGAAGGGATTGTGGAGCATAAAAGTGGGTCAAAACCAGAGCTGAGATGGCTGACTCCTTTCTGTTTGTGTGGGATTTCTCTGGCTCTGGAACTAAAAGTCCTGTGTCACAGATAATCCCTCTGGCACAGACAAGCTAGAACCCACTACATAGGGAGTAAAACACAAAATGAGAGGGAGAGGCTTTGCTCCTGACAGCTAGCGTGGTTGCAAAATCATGACTAGAACCCAGACCTCCTAACTCCTAGGCCACTGCACTTTCTTTATCTTCTGCCAGGCAAGAGCTAAGCTGATGAGATGGATAGAAAAGTAAAGAATTAGGGTCTAAACCCTAGGATATTTATCCACTAGTTGGATGACCTAGGGCAAACTACTCTGTCTCTCTCTCTCTCCTTCTCTCTCTCTCTCTCTCTCTCCTTCTCTCTCTCTCTTTCTCTCTCTCTCTCTCTCTCTCTCTGAGCCTTACTTTTCCTGCCTAAAAAAGCAGAAATGGTATGAAATGTGGGACCAAGTAAGACCATTGGGGCCATAAAAAATGGAGCTTCTGCCAACAACGTGACAAGAGCAGGAAAGAGCCTCAGACTAGTGGACCACTCCTCTCACTTTGAAGTCCAGCCCCAAGGGTGCCAGGTCTCCCCTGGCCCAGGCCTCTCAGCAGTTTGAAGAGTTTGACTCTCACTAAATTGTCCTCAACACTCCTTTGAAAAAATATGGTCCCACTCCTAAAACTGTCTGCAGTGAAATACATTTCCCCTAGAAAATGGTGGTGGATTTATCGCAACTGGGCCATTCATTTGTTAAAAAGCAGAATGGCATTTATTGCCAACTGCTCACTTTATGGGAGAAAAGAAACAGGGAGTCTAATAAGCTTGGTTAATTTTTTTCTTTTATGGCTCCAGAAACTGCACTAAATATTCCTTCTGCTTTTCTTACACCATTTGGAGAACGCTCTGAATTTGTTACAAGAAAGCTTCAGCCCACTCATGTGCTGCTTTTGTCTGGGGAGGAGATGCTGGACGAGAGAAGTTCTGAGAACCACTCCTGGGCATTCTCCCTACTGGAGTTCAGCATGATCACTGATCATTTTGCAAAATTGAGGATGCAACTTTTTTTTTTAATCCATTAGTAGATGGGAAGTTACCTGTAATGATTCAGCTGAGATGATTTTGAAATATGTTGGGATTCACTGTACAGTGGACCCTCAAATTACAAGTAGCCTGACACATAAACAACTTGTGTTATTACTGGAATTTTAGTTTTAATTTACAACCAAAGTTTTGAGTTATGACCTGAATGCTGGCCACTTGTGCTTCCAGATGGTCTCAGATACAGATTTAACCCTCAAAGAGTTCTGGAAGATTCTGTGCGTGGAGCTAACTGAGAAATCCTGGGCCAGCGTCTCTCTAAGCACACTGAAATCCACCTGGGTACAGGACAGAGATGCTGAAAGCTCTGCAGAGGAGCCTGAGCTACCTGAGGTACCTGAGTTACTGGGGAGCCCTGAGTTACCGCCAGGCCCTGAAAATGAATTGAGTTCATAAGTTGAGGGTCCACTGTGTTTTAAAAACACATGAAGCAGCAAATTAGTGTTCCAAAAGGGAGATCTGAACCCTGATACTTGTTTTTTTTCGGGGGGTGTCAGGGATCAAACTTGGGTCCTTATGCCTGTGAAGTAGGTGGTGGAAACACTGAGCTAAATCTCTGGCCCAATACTTAAGTATGTGAACCTGATTAACATCCGAGAACCTGCAGAAGGCTTGTGAAATGCTCACTGCCACAGGGTGACACTCACATGTCTACCCTGACCTCCTTGCTAATTTCATTCATCAGCTACTTAAGGAGTTTGAGAACATCTGCTATAAATTATACATTGCACATTGCCCAAGACCATTGAAAGCCTGGTTTTTCAGTGGCACCTCTGACATTTAAGTGACTTTCTCAGCCAGGGCTGCCCAAAGAATTTCCTGGGACAGTGACAGTATTTTAATCTGCACTGACCAATAGAGTAGACACTAGGCATGTGTGGGTATGGAGAACTTAAAATGTGTCCAGGTCAAGACTGGGGAACTAGGTTTTTAATTTTATATGATTTTGATTAATATGAACAAGAGTAATTAAAAATAGCCCACGGCTGTCATACTGGACAACTCAGATCCAGCCAGTTTGAGCCTCAGCTACTTCAACTGTAAAAAGGTGCTGTTGTAAGTGGAATCTACACAGTGCTTCCTGTGAGTGAATATTTACAAGAAGTTAGAAAATCCTCATTTTAGTATGACCAAGAAAAATGCCGCTATGTGGAGTTTTATGCCTGATTAACGTCCTGAAATTTCATTGAGGGCGTTTATAGATAAAGATTACTAACTAACTACAAAGCCATTCATTAAACATTCTTTCACAAACCAGAAGCTTTTACTCAAGGTGCAGCACAGGGCTTCAAAGGGTGAAGCAGAGCTCTTTAATATGGAATTGTATAAAAAGAAAACCATAATGCTCCAACGTCATCAACCACTAAGAGTAAGTCACAAAGTCTAAGACTCTCAGCTCAGAAGAACCATGGTAGTCATCTTGCTCTATGCTCCTTTAGTGCTTAAAGGTCCTCCCCACAGCTGTATCCCAACCTGTACAACTATTGGGATGGGGATCCCTCTCTCACTTTCTTTCTCCCCACCCCCTAGAGGAGGCTACTTAACCCATTTCATGTTGGACACAGTGTTTGTAAAGAGAGCTTCCTATGCTGAGCAAAAATCTGGAGAGGTACCATGGATCTTACAAGGAGTCTGCCACTTTCAGTTTTGTGAGAAATAAAAATAAGGGTAATAAAACTGCTATGGGGTCACTGGGAAGACTAAGATTGATATAGAGATCAATGTGGTGTGTTCCATGCCATTCCATCCTGCTGGCGTGACTTCCTTAACCTCAGGGGTAAACCGAGGATTGACAGTTTCTCATAGCACCTGTCCTCCCAAGGGACACAGCAGTAGTTGTGGTAGTACAAGTACTTACATTATTCTCTTGTTACGATGTATTTAACTAGAATAACTTCTAGAATTAATTTCTAGAATGTGCACCAAGTTAATTCATCTGTCTCTGCAATAGTATTTCCTTAGCTATTGCCTATTTATTAGGATTTCAGGTGCCTCATGGCTTTCACAATTCAACAGAAATTGTTTCATGTTCTCAGACTGGCCAAGCCTGGGAATGAGAATGTGAATGACATGGAGGCCTTGTCCAATCCTGCAGCCCCACTTTCCAGGATGGTATTGATGATGTTGATGGCAGGGGTGGTAATATTATAAGGAATGGAGAGAGCATTGACTTTTAAGGATGATCAAGTGTTGGACGCTGTGTTCAGAGCTTAGCAGAGATGATTGCATTTAATATGCACAGCAATACTGTGAAGTAGTTTCTTTCATTATTATCTGCATTTGACAAATAAGAAATCTGAGCAGAACAAGTTAAGTAACTTCCTCAAGAACAGGAGGATGAGCTGAAAGTCATGAGAGGCGAAGCTGCTACAGTTTTCCAGTGCCTGATATAGGTGCTCAGAGTACAAGAGGGCTCCCATCCTGAAGGCAGAGAAGCTGGCAGGAGAAAGAGTTCAGTGACAGCAAAGTGACCTTGTCCTGAAAGGGAACCAAGACAGGAGAAGATGGATGGAAATATTCTTTTAAAGATGGGGTTCATAGGCCTTAGTGTTTGGATGGTAGCACTTTTCCCTAGGGGAGGGCATGAGGGAAAAGATAGCCAGGTCAGTGTCCTTCAGGAATGACAATAATGTCCCTGAAAGTCTGCAAAATGCTGGAAAAAATGCAAATGATTTTTTTTTAAAAAGGACAAATCCATGTCATAAAAATAAATTTGACTGCTAGAGTCATCAAAATGAGGACCATCTGTGAAGATTCTTCTGAGATCTGGCCCCCAGGTGCCAACATCTTTAGCTACCTTCTACCTGACCCCTCCTGCTCTGCCCTTTGAACACACTAATCTGCCAGATGAACCTCTTTTAGTAGCACAGAGGCCTCCTTTTCTGACCCCTGGCTAAGACCAGAGGTCCTGTTTTCTGCTCAGTTGTACTTCAGGGTCCAGCCCATTAGAAGTGATTTATGGAAACAATGGGTACACATCAGTGCTCTGCATTCTAAATATAAAGGTTTCCAAACCATTTAACCAACCAGAAGCAGCTAGCATTTCTTGAGCACCGACCAAAACCCGAACAATCGTGGCATAGTTTAGGTCTATTGGCTAACTTACTCTGCCTGGGCCTGTGAGATTAGTGCTATTATAATCCCCATTTCCTAGATGGGGAAACAGAGATCAAGGAACTTGCCAAGTAGTAAAGAACATTTGGATGCCAGAAACTTTGTGCCAGAGCATGAGCAGTTAGTGCGTTTTTAGTTTCATAAGCCTTCCCGGAATTCCTAGTGTGTGCCTTTTTACCTGAGTCTACAGCTTCTGCTTTAAAGCAAAGTAACAGGCATCATAGAAAATTAGAACTCAGATAAACTAAATGAGCTCCTGAATCACATAGGAAAATTGATGCCTAAAGACAACTGGTGACCTACCTAAGGACACTCAGGCACAGGCACGACAAAACCTGATTCAAAGCTGGGCCTCTTATTTCACTGTTCTTTCAAAGAGATGATAAAGCACCTAAAAACACTTTGAAAAAAATCTCCTCTACAAGCTCATGATATATTTATTATTGTTAATATCAGTCCTAACCCACCAGGCAAAATGTTTTTCACACAATAGGTGGCTGACAGACATGTCTGGGCTGTAAAAAGTGGACCTAAGAATATAATTCAAAACCCAAGGTCTTAGGTAAGAAAGGCCTTTTTCGGAAATATACATGAAAGGCATTTTTCCAGGGCCAACATTCCATTAGTACTTCAAATCATTAATCAGGTTTTGTGCATAAAGTCAACCCATTGCCATCGCCTGTAAACTTTTAGTGGATTGGAAACAGGTGACCGGCTTTCTGGACTGTCAGTATCAGAGCACCTGGGAGAAACTGCAATGGATTAGCCCTTCCAGCCCAGGCTAATGAGGGCCTGGACTGCCTATGAACTGAACCACTGAATCAGACATTTGCTTGGGGAGCTCATGACTCAGGCTAAACAGCCAACCAGGAAAAAAAGACTAGGGTACCATGGTTTAGACAGGAAACTGAGGCTCTCTGATGATGTGCAGTGACTGGACTAAGAATTGAAGAAACCGAGGTCCAAACTTACATCTTACAATGCCAAAATCATACAGCACTAATTAAACATTTTCACCCCAAAGTTAAGGAAATTCTATTATAGAAGAAAGATAATCCCCAGGAATTTCTAACTCACATCTACAGCTTCTGTTCAGAATTGAACTGGTTGTCATAAAATTTCATGGGCAATCTTTGACATGATTCCAGCCACTGAGGATGTCTCTGCCTATTATCATAAGAATTGTTAAGAACAAATCCTGAAGGATCCTTTCAATTCTTGCATGATTCTGACAGATCCTAAAGCTATACGTAGCTAAGAATATAGATGCAGAAGCCAGACATTTAGGGTTCAAATCTTGTCCCTGACACTGGTGAGCTATAACATTTACTAGTTGAGCTTGAGCAAGTTAATTAGTTTCTTTGAGCTTTCATTCTCCTTCCCTGAAAAAAGATAGACTGCTATTGGAGAGCTGTTACCAAGATGAAATGAGCCGACACAGGTAGAGTGCTAAGTTCAGGGTCAGAAGTGTAGTAAGCATTCTAAGAGCACTCAGGATGTCTCTATAGATTGGAAATCTAAAGTTAACAATGTGCGCAAAGGGAGTGCAGACAACAAAAATAGCATAAGATTCAAACCAAAGGCCTGTTGCTATAATGATATAACACACGATACTTCTTCATCTCATTAAAATTGCAAAAACATTTGTTGCTTCTTGGTGTTATTCCTTGGACAATTGGGGTTCTGTTCAGAAAGTCCCTGTCTATGCCTGTGACTTCAAGAGTTTCACCAATTTGATCCTCCACCAGGTTAAATGTTTCTGTTTTAATGCTTAGATCTCGGAATCATTTTGATTTTAGTTGAGTGTTGGGAAATATATGGCTTTCAATCTTCTGCATGTATATAGCCAACTTTCTAGAGAGGCTATCTTTCCTCTAGGACAGTAATGATGGATCTTTAGGGCTTCCAGTGATGACAGACATCTAGCTGCAGCACGCATGCCATAGCTTTGCCACCACTGCCTTGTGTAAGGTTTAGGTTCCTTTCTCAAAGATCAGGTGGCTGAATGTGTTTGGAGCTATTTCTGCGTCCTTTATTATGTCCCACTGATCCATGTGTCTGTTTTTTAAGCCAGGATCATGCTGTTTATAATTACCATAGCTTTGAAATATAACTTGACATCCAGGCATGAGATGTCTCCTGCTTTGCTCTTGTTAGCCAAGATTGCTTTTATCGTTCTAGCTTTCTTATTCTTCTATATAAATATTAGTGTTTTTTCTAGTTCTGTGTTGGTCTTCTGTCTGGGATTGTATTAAATGAATATGTTAGTTTGGGGAATGAAAATAGTCATTATGCATTGCAAATATATACCAATATACATATATACACATATGTATGTGTGTGTCATGTCTTGGTTCACAAACACTATTGCTTGCAAAGAATTTGGTTCACAAATAGAAGCGTTTGGCAAATATTGTTTTTGTTTGCAAACTCTGCATTAGGTAACAAATATGATTGTGGCCATCTTTCTTATACAAACATGCATGTGGCCATTTTTTCAAAATCATAAAACAATTTAAGTTTATGATCTGAGATATAAATATATACATATATTTTTTTTAAAAAACTATTTTCAAGCTACCTTTCCAGTACTGGAATTGGGCAATGAACTCAAGCTATTTGGTGTAGGTAGGTGTTTGGATATAAATATCTATTTTTAATCTTGTGCGTAAATGAATACAGAGGTTAGTCACTGAGTGCAGGCTAATCTAAAATAAATGAATACATTTGAATTAATCAGATCCTCCATCTATGTATATTGATGACTTACAATGATATTAGTACAAACTACAATGACAAATCATTTCAAAAACTAGGTACAGTGCACTTTAAGTCTGCAAGGACTCTGGAGGTTTTGTATATAAATTTGAGAAAACTTTAAAATATAGGTGGGCATGGCTATGTTTGGAGTGAGAAGCAGGGGGCAGGAAGATCTGAGGAGATTGTTGAGCCACATTCTGGAAGGGGAATGGTAATAGGACCTGCAAGGTCATAAAAAGAAAAAGAGGAACAAGATAAGGCCAACGGAACAAGAGCATTCTGTATTTCACAGTTAATTTCTCAGACAGAGGACCTTGAGACTGCAATTGAATTCAGTGCAATAAGCAGCTCTAAAGCAAGGCAGCGTGATAAAGAGGACTCTGCTGGTTCTTGTACTTGTTGGGATCTTGGGTAAAATAACTTTGCTAAGGCTGGTGATTTCCCCAGAAAAATAGGCTTTACTACCTTGACCTTGAATTTTTATGAGAACTTGACAATATTGGATGTGTAAAATGAAAATGGCAGCTCATGAATGAAGAACAGGGTGAAGTTAATGGAGAATAGAGTCAGTGTACCGGGTACAATTCTTGGCATCGCTATTTGTTAGCTATGAAACTTTATTCAAAGAACAGCCTGAGTGAGCATCGATCTTCTCACTTATAAACAAGAATAACAGAGTTAACTTCCTGGAATCTGCGTGAGAATTAAATGTAAACATCCAGTTCCTATAACTTAGGAGATACTTGGAAAACATTAGCTGTTAGTATAAATGATTGTCACTGATGTTATTGTGATTCCCAGTGATGAAATTTGTGATGCTGGTTTAAGAAATAGAAGAATGAAAGATATGGGGACCATGAAGAATATACAAATGGAAGAGAGTGTATGTAACCACAGACTCAGGAAAAGGAGGAAGGGAATTACTGTGGATTGGCAAAACTATGGCAACACAATTCTACTTTCTCTTCCTCAAACAAGGAAGGCACTTATAAGAAGAGGACATTGTAAATGCCCCTTTTTCAAGCCAGAGAAGTATCTACCAGAGCTCTCTCTCTCTCTACATGTGAGGACACAGAGTGAAAAGGCAGATGTCTACAAGCCAGAGAGTAGCCTCACCACTGACCAGATCAGCTCACATTTTGATTTTGGACTTTCCAGCCTCCTTACTATAAAAAATAAATACTGTTGTTTAAGCCACACTGTCAATGTTATTTTGTTATAGCAGCTCAGATCAACTAATACACGCTTATCAATGGCTGGTACTTGCCAGAATTGGAGAAGAAATTTAAGTACACAGTACCTCATCTTTAAATTAAGATCCTTTTTTGAGTGTGCACTGGTAGCTGCATTTTAACAAACATCCCCACACACACATCACACATGCCCTACAAAAATGCAAACAGATTTAATTCTAAATTACAAACTCACAAATATTAACCAAAGGTTTATTCATTCTCCCTAACAATCATACTTTCCAAATGATTACAACTTAAGCAAAACTAGAATACTTTCTTCCAGTCAAACAAAACTGTATCCACGTTGGTCAATGGACAGCCAATCCCCGCCACCTAATGGCTCTTCATTGTCACCTAGCATAATTGTAAGAACTTCTGAGCACTGATTCTAAATAGCAAATTGTCATTAAATAAAACTAGTGTCAATGGGGCCAGAAGATAATTGAAATGTCAGTTGGATTTTTAAAGGTGCATAGTAGAGCTATTCAAGGATATGAGCAATAATCCCACACGGACCCCAAGGACCCACATACAAAAATGCTTATTATAGCATGATTTGAAGTAAGAGCTAAAATTTGAAAGCAGCTTCTTTGTCCATCAATAGGGAATGGATAGGCAAAAATTCTGCTTTATTTCTAGAGAGCTAATTATAAATATTAAATATAATGCTTTTTGTGTGTCAAATAAAACCCAAATATAAAGTACTCATTTACATTATCTATGGAGACAAATGCATATATAAGTACATTTTTTGCAAAAGTAAGTAAAGTGTAAAATAAAATAATCAAAGTGGTTTATTTTCAGAGGAAAGGAAATTAGACTAGGGACAGAGTAAACAAAGAGATTCTGACATCCATAAAATTTCAATTGTAATTAAAATGAATAGACAGTATGCAATTAAAATATTGTTTTAAATAAAAATCATATTAGGCCATCTAGACCAATAATAATGCTGCAGTGTGATTTTAATGCTTAGTACACAGAGATAGCAACAGATCTCATAAGGTGAAGACACGGTCTCACGAAGGCTATCCCACACACAACTTCCACCAGGGCTCAGGAAGCCTAATGCTCCAGGGGTTCTCATGTCACAACTCACAGAACTCAGGTAAGTGTTCCCTGATGATTCCAGCTTTATTATTAGGAACATAGATTAGAACCTGTCCCAGGGAAAAGTCTCAAAACTGTCCTGAATATAGTTTTCCTACCTTTTCCTGTGAACTCAGACTGTGTCACCTTTCTGGCACACAAATGTGCTCAATAACCAAGACACACAAATATGTCCACCAGGCCTCGATGTTCAGAAGATTTACTAGGAATTCATGTCACAGGCACAGTTGAATGAAATACTGGCCTTGAGACCAAACTGAATCTCCAGCTCCCTTTCCTCTGTGAAGGTGGAGTGATCAGGCTAATAGCACATGGCTCAAAGCCTCAACCCCTCTAATCACAGTTTGTCTTACCAACATTACCTGCTCCCAAATCATCTCAGGTACCATTTGAAAGACGTACACATGACACAGACACTCTTACTACCAAGAAAATCCCAAGGCCTTAGAGTCTCCTTTGCAGAAACTAGGGATACAAGGTATCACATTTATATTGTACAACACCAACCCAACAACCTCTGATGGCTCCCAGAACTATATCTAACCCATTTCAACCTGGTGGATCAATAAGGTGTCAGTCTATGAAGAAGGTGTACTCTGCAAAATATGGGTTTCTACGTTACAAAGGGAGGCTACATGTTAAACATGACCTGGGAAAGGCTCTCTTACACAACATGGGCACATTTTGGAAAATTTATTTTGCTCTCCTTGATGAAAATTTTCTACGTATCTCTCATGATTACTCTTTGTTGTAATTACATCTTGATTAAATACAAATTGACTCTGCAAAATTATTTTGGCATTCTAATGAAGAGAAAAAGTGCTGCCTTTATATCCGTCCCACCCTGCAGCAACAGTAACACTACGAAGACGGGCATAGAAAAGAAGATGTCGGGTTCTGCAGTCATATAGGTCTGGACTCAAATACCCACTGAACATTACATTTTAGGACTCAAATCACCTCTGCAAGTCTCACATCCCAGCAAGTGAGCCTGGGAATGCTCTTAAGGTGAAGAGCAGGATATAAAAGACTTGTGATTGGAACGGTGCCATTTCCATCCCAAGCTGTTGGCCAAAGCCATGGCTGAGTCTGAAGTGAAAGGCCCTACAACAGTTACCCAGTAAAGAGTGTCAGTACCGAGAGGGAGAAGAATTGGGGCCATTCTGAGATCTATTCAATAACCAACATATTTGAGAATTTGAGCTTTGCTAAGTAGTTTACATGTTATGTTATGGTTCAGATCTGGGGTGGCCCCAAGAGCATCATGCACTCGTAGGTACACTTGTGGAAGGCGGGGACTGGCTGGAAGTTGGTCACTGGAGGAATGACCAGGAAGGGTGTATCTCCCTTCCAACTCTCCATTTTTTCTGCTTCCTGTCTCTGGTAAAGCAAGAAAGCTCTTCTCCATTCAGGCCCACCTAAATTCCACAGACTATGTAAGCAATGAAACTTCCACAACTTGAGTCAAAATAAACCTCCTCATTCGAGTTGCAAGTGTTGGATATTTTGTCCCAGTGGTGAAGAAAGATACTAACATTATATTTATATACAGTGGTGTTATTAGGACTTTGCAGACCAAGAAACTTGGGCTTGGACAGCTTAGATAATAGACCCTAAGTCACGCAATTAATAAAAGGTAATATCTGAGTTCAAATAAAACAGTTTCTGACTCTCAGTCCTACGTTATTAAGCCTACAATCGTGTAGCCTTCATCAAACTTCCATACTTTCTTTGACAACACTGGAAATTTAGACAGAAACCACAACATGTGGCATGTGACACGGGGACACCCAATTACCATGCAGTGTTACTCCTTGGGGCAGAGAGTCACACTTGACTCATTATTTGGTCCTATTTATCCAAACCCCTGATTTTGAATTTCAGCTAAATGTAGTTAACTTGGATGAATCACTTTATCTTTCTGCCTTAATTTTCTTGTCTGCAAAATGGGGAAACAATTAAAATATCTATCTAGGATATTACATAAATTAATGACAAAATAATCAATAATTACATCTAACAAACCTATATAACATTTATATAGCATATACAATATACGAGGCACTATTCGAATTACTTTTCATAGACAATTTCACATGAGACCTATAGGGGTGTTATATTATTCTTCTCAGTTTATGCACAAGACAGGGACATCAATAGTTTAACCAACTGGCATCAGCTCACAGAGCTAATAAGCAGCAGAAGTAAGATTCAACCTGGAGAATTTGTTTCTTGATATCTATTTTCAAATAAAGAAGAATCTGATCTACAATAGCAGCCAAGATGGTTACTGTGGTTGATGTGCTGATACTTCAGAGAAGAGAAGGCACTCAGCGGTTGTGTCCACGCAAGGGTTCTACTGCTGAGCCCATTAACCCCTGGCTGTGAAAGGACAATTTAATGACCCAAACTGAACCCATAACGGCTTGAGTATTCCCACTTCCTGAGAAGGACAGATGAACACTGGGCTGCAGGGTATCACTTGAGCTGTTCCTCTCACTGTTGTTTAAAAACAAACAGCTATTAGGAGACCCACTTGTGAGGCCCTGAACAGGATCTTCTGGCAGGGAGTGGAGGAGCCACTTCACACACAAAGTCATGTCCCTCAAGGATTTGCTGCTCTGCCAAAGATTGATTTCAGTGATTGTAAATGATTTGGGTGGGGTACCAGGGATCAAACTCGGGTCCTTGTGCTTGCGAGGCAGCCACTGGAACCACTGAGCTAAGTCCCCAGCCCTGTAAATAATTTTTTTAAAAACTGAGCTGGAGATAAAGGTGTCATCAGCTGGTCAGCCTGAAATTTTGAATGTGAGCAACACACACAGACATACCTATAGTTTATAGTCTAATGGCTTAGACTTTTGTCCCAAAGTCGAGAGCAGCCTTTTCTGGTGACGTTTTAAATGGAGACTGGTGAATCACAATAGCAGTAATTCAATTTCATCCCATAATTAGAACTTTATAATACTGCTAAGAACACAGAGGAACATAAAAGTTGAATAGTTGGACAAAAATCTTATTACTAAGGTGTGGTAGAACCAATCATTTTTCTCTCTTACCTTTGCTTTTTCAGCCATAATAGCATTTGGGAAAAGCTTTCTTCAATACATATGGTCACCTGTAACACTTTGTGAACCAAAGTTCCCTCTGAATACTTCCCAGCATCTCTATACAAAGAAAAGCAGGTTAGCAGGCTAAGAGGACAAGAAAACGGGTTCAGAAATGTAAGATGAAAATGTTTTCCTCTCAGGTTCTATCAATGTATTTGTGAGAAGCCAAAGTGTATTCACAGGGAAGGTGCTAAAAGCTTTGATCTATCCATGACTCTTGCCAAGAGGTTAATTTTTCAATGGGTTAAGTTTTAATATAATACAGGTACATTACAGGTATGAATAATGTAACAATAATATACATAAGGAGGTAGCAATGAAGATAATGCTCTGTTCACCACACGATTTTCTCTTACTGTACAAACAAAAGTCTGTTTCCTCCTCTACCCTGAAATTAAGTTGAAGCCATAAACCTGAATTCTGGTCAATAGAATAGGGCAAAAAGTGACATCTGACACACAGACACCATCAGCAATTTATACTAAAAAAATACTTGCACAGTTGCACAAAACTATAATAATGTTCATACAACATTGCTCATAATAATGAGAGAGCAGAAATACAAAGGAGATTAAAT